GCATAATGTGAATGCTCTGCCAATCAAGCCCTTGATTCTAGGGACTCCAAAATTCAAGCTTGGAACCATGAATATTTACCTTATTAAAATCCCAAATATGGAAAATCACTTGGGACAGAAACACATTTAGAAAAAAAAAGTATAGACTTTTTAGGGATTTACGACTGGGATAGGTTTATGAGTCAAAATTTAAAATGAATAAATGATAAACTTTGGTGCTGCTACGCTGGTAAAGATGTCAACAACTTGATCTAAGCTCCTTTGTAGCATGGTAGAATTATTCCTTGCTCCACCATTTGTCTCACTTTACGATAGTCCACTTCAATGTACTTGGCTATTTCATGAAACACTAAGTTAGATGCAATGTAATGATTGCTTGATTGTCACATTGCATGGTGATTGGGTCAGGTGATTCAGTTTTCAAGTCCTTGAGAAGAGCTTTGAGCTAAATCAACTCATTGATGAGCTTTCTCATGACTATATACTCAGCTCATGCACTTGAACAAGAGATCACCTTCTGCTTCTTATACTTCCAAGTGACTAGATTTCCTCCAATGAATGTGCAATAGTCTGTTGTAGAATTCTTGACGAGTCTATCTCCAATCCAATCAGCATACAATAACCAACAATTGATGAACTATCATTGCATCTCATCCAAATAACTTGGCCTGAAGCTCATCCAAGTATCCCGTCCACTATGTCCAATAGTGTATTTTGAGAGTCTGCACATGCTGTCTCACTTGATTCAGGACAAAATAAATGTCAGCTTGAGTGATTGTTATGTATATCAACTTACAAACCATCCTTCGGTGTTGTTTGACATCTTCAAATTTCCTATCTTTGATCTTCCGCTCTCTTAACTTTGTAGTCTTTTTCAAGGGATGTCTAAGCTTGTTTTACTCAAAGATCTCTTGCTTCAGTCAATAAGTTAAATGTATACTTCCTTTGAAATAAGACGAATCTCTAAAACGACACACTTCTACCCATAAGAAGTATTTTATTTCATCAATGTCTTTAATATCAAATTCAGATTTAAGAAATGCCCTGGTGGCTTGAACCCAAAGCGTCTTGGTAGTTTCACAATTGGGTAAGTCTCGAAGATTGATATTCTAGAGAGTTTTAGATGATAGACAACACTTGCTAGTCCTCTTGAAACCACTTGTCTCCATTAACTAGGATAATCTCCTTGTCATCTTTGGATCATTTGTTTTAGAGCTTCATCTTAAGTTACATGACTCCATGAACCACAACCACCCAAAACTATCTTGACCACCCTATACCACAACAAATCGTTTACCCCTTTAAAGGTGATTGGACAAACACTCTCCTTGAATTTTTTATGGTCAAAACTAGATAAGAAATAGTAAATGTGAGTGAATGTGGAAGAGATGAAAACAATCTATTCTATTAAAATATAATTACTATTTTTATCTATCATTGACGACACATAATAAGATTACTTAATTAATTACTTAATATGAATGATTTGATTATTTATATCAATAAATCAAATATATAATATTTCTAGAAAATTTTAAAATCAATAAGGATATTAATTTTTTTTTTGTCTGCAACATACACAGACTTATATAGACTCTGTAAACCAAACCGGTGGCTCCGAATCCATGTGGACAACAAAAGACGGTTGCTTTCTGCACTGCGTTCTAGACTATCTGCCTTTAGATTCAGTGTCCGTGGGATATGGATGAGCTCAGAACTGTGGAAACTTCTCTTCATGAAACGTATGTCTTCCAAATAACTTGCAAACGCTGGCCATTCTTCGGGTGTGGAAACCATCTTCACTAAATGAGAACAATCCGTTGCAAAAGTGACATTATATTGTCATAGGTTCTTCATACATTCCATTTCCCAAATTAAAGCCTCTACCTCGGAATGCAAAGGCGATAGACTCACTCTTATATTCCTCGTTCCGATCAAATCCTCAAACACTTCCAGTGTACTATACTATCCTTGTCCCGAAAAAAGTTTATGGCTTTTCCAAGATCCGTCTGTGATACACCATCTACCTGGAATGAATGGTAAAGTCTCGACCGCTGCTAATTGGGACTCTCGAATACTCTGTTGAAGAGCAACCTGTGCCTCACCCCAAAGTATAGATTCTGTTTCTACCACTTTAAGAGTATCTCTCGAATCAATGTCCAAGTTACTAAAAAAATTGTTATATTAGGCTTTCCATATATACCATAATATCTATGCATATTGACGATCTTCCATTACTGGATTAACCTGCCAAAATAAATGATCCAAATTTGCTAACAGTGTCTGAAGTGGGAATCTGTCCGGGTTTGTCGGAATTCGTGAAAGTGCCCAAACCGGAACCGCCGGTGGGCATTCAAAAAACACGTGGTTTATATTCTCTTCAGGTGCTCCGCATCGTGAACAAACTAGGTCCCCTTGTAACCCCTTTGCGTTCAATTTTTTCTTAACCGCGATACATCTTGAAACCAGTTGCCATAAAAAGTGTTTCATCTTAGGGGGGCATCTTACTTTCCAGCAGAATTTTTTAACGGTTCACCATTGGGCCAAACTCAGGAGGCAACATGTCTTTGTCTGGGTACATTCTTTCCACTTGGTATCCAGATTTAACCGTATATCTCCCGTTATTTGTAAAGTGCTATCCATCCCTATCTGCTGATGGAAACCGACTTAAAGGAATACTTTCAATGATTTTCACATCCTGCAGATCCACCAAATTCCGAATAACCTGCGATTTCCATGTTCTCGATGTTACATCGATAAGAGAATCAACTGTAAGATCCGGATAATGATTGTGTTGATTTTTGTTTTCTGGTCTCGGGATCAGTAAGGATATTAATAGTAAATCAGTTTTAACTATAAATTTGAATTTATTTTTAATTATAACAAAATTTGTTGAGAAAAAATCTAAAATAATTCTACTAAAAATATTTAAATATTTCTTTAAATAATGCATTAATTAATTTTATAATTAATAATATAATAGTATTATAAATTAATGTTAATTAAGATTTTGTTATAAACTAAAATAAAACTTATATGCTTATTTTTATAAGTTCTTAATTGATATGCAATAATATTAAAATAATATTTATATATGAAAGAATTCTGTTATTTTTTTTAAATTAAATTATAGCCCTATTATTTTATTTAAATAACTATTTATCATCCACTGTAAAATAGATAAAATTCGTAAATTATGTAATATTTTATAAAAATAAAACAAAATTATTAACAAATGTTAGATTTTATATCTACAATTAGATATTATCTTTTTACTTATTTGAAACTCAAAACGTTATATTATCTAAAATGGTTATATAAAAATATAATAGTATATAACTAACATTATTTCATGCATTATTTACAAAATATGCTATTAGAGAACTCTGAAATTTAATAATTCATTAAATTTCTTAATGATAAATTAATTTTAGTTAGAAATTTAATTTTTAATTTACTATAACAAAATCTGTTGAAAACATATAAAAATATTATCGAAATTCCGTTATTTATTTTTTAAATAAAGAATTAATTTAGTAACAAAAAAATCAAAATTCGTATAATCTTTCAAACTCAAAATAGTTGTGTAGTCTTTAAAAAAAAAATATTGATCAAATATACAACTTTAAAATTTTTTATATATATATATATATTCAAAATGAAAAATAATAATGTTCTATATTTTACAACAAACAAAATACTAGAGTCTAAAGTATATTATTTTTGAAATGTAGCACGAGAAAAAAAATTTATGTTGCAAAAATCAAAAGTAGTATAGTTTTGAAATATTTATTTAATAACAAAAAATCAGAAAAGTTAATACCATAACATCAATAAATTTTACTAAAATAATATGATAGATGCTACTATACATAAAATTTACTGAAATAATGGGGCTATGTGATTTAAACAGAACAATATAATTACTTATAAAATCTCAAAAATACTAAAATGATAGATGTTAAAGTATAATTTCTTAAACACGTCCTAAACAAGTATCATTTCTATAGTATAACTAAATAAATTTTAATAATGTATTGTATGAAATAACAGTTTATAACAAAGTAAAATGTAAAAAATAGATCTCTATGTATTAATAATGTAGAATAAGAAATCTAAACAATAAGACTATAGAGTTAAACAATGTATAATATTAAAATTTAAATACTATATATTATAATTTTTTGATAATATTAAAATTATACATTGATAAAATGAGACAAATACCTACACAAATGTGCGGGTCAAACTATTAGTAGAAACTGATTGTTCTGATACCATATGATAATATATGATTAAATTGAATAGGATGAAGAAATCTAAAGACAAGATGAAGAAGTTTTAGAGAGAATAGAGAGGGAAACTTAGTGCTCTTAATATTTACAATTTTGGCTACAAGAAATTATAAGTAGGTTTAACCTTGTAGAAAAACCAAACAAATTTGACTTTCTGAAAAACTAAAATAAAAGTATATACTTATTTTACTGTTCACTTGAATTACTGTTCACTAGTGTTACTATTTATTTTAACACTAACTAGACACTAACTTGAATAGTGATTAAGGTTAGAAAAAAATGGAAGACAACTAAATACTCTATTTGATGAGTGGTAGGTCTCCCATGAGGATGTTGAATCAGTTTTGGACTTTAATTGTATTTTCCGTGTTTCGTGGATCACCGCTCTTACCCTCAAACCATCAAATTTATTCTAACACGAAAGAAATAAAACAAATCCTAAAAAAAGATAACATCCTAAATTTTGATTTACCAATATCTTATTTGGAATGTTTTTTATCCTTAAATCCAACAAAAGCGTCTGTTTTTGATAATTTTGTTTCATTTCAAAACAATAAGAGAGAGATTTTTTGGTTTGTTATATGTTTGTGATAGAGATCTGTCAGTACTTCTGTAAAAGTTGTATCATCTTTAGATCAACTGGATTTTAAAGGCATAAAAGGGTTTAACTTGCGGGGCAAGAAAACAAGCGAACGTTGTCGTACCATGGTTGCAGCGTTGGAACGAGGACTAAGCGCTTCAAAATCATTCAATTTCAAAAGAATGTTTGATTCATCATCAACAAAACAACAACAACCTCAAACCATAGTTGTGGAGAACGGAGATTCACATCTTGTTGAATCTAACACGCCTGAAAGCCAAAACTCTGATTACTTGGCAGATAGCCCCGTTGAGAGCACACCTCCAATGATTTCTCCTCTTAATCGGCCGGGAAAGCGTCCTGACAGACAACAAGCAGGTGAACCTATTCTTTTCCTCGATGACTTGCTAATCAAGTTTAGGTGAAGGCAATTGTTTCCTTGAGATAAACCCTCATAAAATATTGCAGATACTGAGATGATGAAGGACAGGTTCGCAAAATTACTTCTTGGAGAAGATATGTCCGGTGGTGGAAAAGGAGTATCTTCTGCTCTGGCTCTTTCCAACGCCATCACAAATCTTGCTGGTAACTCTTTTTATTTTGACTTTCCTAGTTTCTTCCTACGCAAGAAATTCTTGAGGTTTTTGAATGATTTCTGAACATTCTGATGGTGGTACGATCGATTTTCAGCGTCGATATTTGGAGAACAAACAAAGCTGCAACCCATGCCGCAAGATAGACAAGCTAGATGGAAGAAAGAGATTGATTGGTTGTTGTCTGTCACCGATCACATTGTCGAGTTTGTTCCTTCTCAGCAAACGAGCAAAGATGGAGTTTGCACCGAGGTTGTGATATTCCTAAAGGATAAATATTTATTTTCTACCCCGTTAGATAGATTTATAATCTTTAATGCTTTTATGTAGATTATGGTGACAAGACAAAGAGGTGATCTTCTCATGAACATCCCAGCTCTTCGAAAACTCGACGCTATGCTCATCGTAAGTGTTTCCATTTGTGTAGTGGAGGTTAAACTTATTTTTTTATAACAAAAAAAAAAACCAAGAAGTTAGAAAACACCATAATTTTTTAAAGAGCGTTCATATTTTCTCTTATTATTGTTGTTAATCCGACATAAATGGTCGTTTATCAAGAGCTAGCCTATGGTAGATTAATGGTAATGAAAACATGTTCAGGATACACTTGACAACTTCAGAGGACACACCGAGTTTTATTATGTGTCGAGAGATTCAGAAGAAGGGAAACAAGCAAGTAATGCTCGGTCAAACGACAAATGGTGGCTCCCTCCGGTGAAAGTTCCTCCCGGTGGTTTATCTGAACCGGCTCGGAGAATGCTTTACTTCCAAAAAGATTCAGTCACACAGGTCCAAAAAGCTGCAATGGCCATTAATGCTCAAGTCCTCTCCGAAATGGCAATACCCGAGAGCTACATCGACTCTCTCCCAAAGGTAAACCAATCATTGATGTTATATTTTATTTCTCCATTTATTGTCACATATATATATATATATATATATATATATATTTGTGTATTTTAAGCCTTGGTTTCTGTGGACAGAACGGCAGAGCCAGCCTTGGGGACTCGATCTACAAGAGTATAACAGAGGAGTGGTTTGATCCAGAGCAGTTCTTGTCAATGTTGGACATGTCAACAGAGCACAAAGTGTTGGATTTGAAAAATAAGATTGAGGCATCTGTTGTGATATGGAAGAGGAAGCTTCATGTAAAGGACAGCAAATCTTCTTGGGGATCAGCAGTTAGCTTGGAGAAAAGAGAATTGTTCGAAGAGCGAGCGGAGACGATTTTGGTCTTACTCAAACAGAAGTTTCCTGGCCTTCCTCAATCCTCCCTTGACATCTCCAAGATTCAGTTTAACAAGGTAAATGCAAATGTATGTAATAATTATCAATGTAGATGACTTAGGTGACAGGAAACAAAAGATAATATATTTTTTTTGTTTGGTTAAGGACGTTGGACAAGCGGTGTTGGAGAGTTACTCGAGGATACTTGAGAGCTTGGCTTACACTGTGATGTCGAGGATAGAAGATGTTCTTTACACAGATTCTTTGGCACTAAAGCAAACTCTGTTGGCTGAAGAAACATCAGATGGTGGGAGAACAACCGAGACGGATTCAGAGTCAGCGGGATCTTCTAACTCGGGGGAAGAAACCGAGAAGCTTGACCCACGCTACTCTAAGACCTTGTTGGATTTCATGGGTTGGAGTGATAATAGTTCCAAAAGCAGCGAGAAACCTACTAAATCCCCAGGTCTTACGCCGAAAAAGTTCTCCTACTTGGAGAATTTGAATGGTTTTAGAAGTCCCAAAGCTAGACATTGATCATGAAAATCCATGTGTGATACATTTACAAAGAACCTAAAAGTAGCAAATGAATTATTTACACCCCTTCCTTCCGGCAGTCTTCCTCGGGTAGAGAAGTCATTAGCTTAAGGGGTCAAACTCTTGAAAAGAAGATAACTATATTTCAGTTTTACATGTTTGTTCCATAATCTTTAAATGTTGCCTTTGTTGTCATTGACTTCCAAAATAGTGGCTACTTAATGACAATATGACAACACCAGATGACATACTAGCCTCCCATTTCGGTTTTCCTAAACCAAATCAAACAAATTTTTGGTTTCAGGTTAACCAAAATCTTCAAAATTAATTCTAAAATTAACAGTAATACATGTCGGTTTGCTTATCGGTTAATTTTTTGGCGTTCACTTTTATTTCTGAAAATAACCATTCGTTTTGGTTTTAGGTTAGAATTCAGTACAATTTTCTAAAATGGATATTTTGGAAAATTTTGATTATTTCGGTTAATTTGGTTACTTTTGATGTTCAAATTCAACCGAACCAAACCGAAAATCAAAACATTTTTGAAAACTCTACTTAACTAAATCGAACTCAGGAGAATAGCCGAACCGATCACCAAAAAATTAGGTTCGGTTCAGCTTTGGAAGTCGGCTGTAGTTCGGTCAGACATTCTCAGCAAGCATTGATGTAACTGGCAGATCGATCAACTTGTGTGTTTTTATTTAGTACACCATGCAATTGATAAATCAAAGAATTGTGTTAGTGAATGGTTAGGTAATAAGTAAAATTGAAAAAGTTTATCATCCCCTTCTTGATTCTATAAAAAGATTTTGTTTGAACAAAAAAAAGTTGCATGACCCGCAAAAGCAAAACGAGTCATATCCATATGATTTATAATTGTATGATCATATATATTTTGCTTGAACAACAAAAGTTAAATTATTGATCACAAAATTTTCAATGTGGAACTTTTAGTATTTTTAGTAATTTATAGCCGTTTAAAAAAAAAATAAAAATATAACATATAAGAAAAAATCTAAAATTTTTATTATATGCTTAATGTGATTGTTTAATTTCTTTTTATAGTATAAAATTAAAAAAAAAAAGAGGATACAAAAATTCTTATCAAATATGTATTATTCATAATCATTAACTGTCATATATATGTTAATCATATTAAGTAATTTTGTACCTTTTATTTAAGGAAAGAAAGACTACTTTTTGTGTGTATATAATCAATTTGATAGTTAGTTTAATAAAAAGTAGAGAATTCGGTAAAAAAACACGAATTTTGTATGAATTGCCAAAAGAAACCTGTACTCGAGCGTGACCAAAATAAATCTGTACTTTTGTTAACTTTGTTAGTTTATTAAGAAACTTACGATTGACTCACTATTTTGACACACCATTAACGAGCAGATAAGACTGTGTTAACTCGACGTTAAATATAGGCGTTAATTGAAACGACGTCGTTTTCAAATGAGATGAAACGACGTCGTTTTATGTGATTCGAAAATAAAAACAAGTAGATCCTTGGATTCAAACTCGGGTTGATTAGATCAAATGACAAGGTATTTTACCATTAGGCTAATGGTACTTTCAATATATTTACTAACACATTACTTTTATTGGTACTAATTGAATATAAAAAAAATTCTCTATAATCTTAAAAAATCTTTAAAATTTTCAAAAAATTGAACAAATAAAGAATTTTTTTTATAAAATTAATTTTGAAATTAAAATTAAAAATAAAATTTTATTTTTTCTTTAGAAAATCAAAAATCTTCCAAAGTTTTCAATTTTTTTTTAAATTCCAAAAATTAAAATTCTTAGAAAAAGCAAAAAAAATAAAGTTACATATATCAGCTAAATATTAAAATTGCACTCATAATGGGTACACTATTTATTTTAAGCATTTTAATTTAATTTTAATATGTGGGTATCTTTTTATGTGTGTATAATTAATATCATTTTTACCAATTTTTCTTTTTAATTAAAATTTTGGAAGATTTTGATTTTTATTAAGAAAAATAAAAAATTATTTTATTTGTTTTGATCGGATCAAATGGCAAGGTATTTTACCACTAGGATAGTGACACTTTCAATATTTACTAATACATTTACTTTTATTGGTACTGATTGAATATAAAAAATCTCTAAAAATTTAAAAAATCTTTAAAATTTCAAAAAATTGGAAAATAAAGATTTTTTTTTGTAAAATTAATTTTGAAATTAAAATTAAAAATAAAATTTAATTTTTTCTTTAAAAACTCAAAAATCTTCCAAAATTTTCAATTTTTTTTTGAATTCCAAACAAATTAAAAATTCAAAGAAAAAGCAAATAATTAAAGTTACATGTATCAGATAAAAATTAAAACTGCACTCATAATGGGTACAATATTTATTTTAAGAATTTTAATTTAATTTTAATATGTGGGTATCTTTTTATGTGTGTATAATTAATTTCAATTTTTTTACCAATTTGTTTTAGAATATTTTAAATTTTGGAAGATTTTTGATTTTTATTAAAAAAAATAAATTTTATTCTAATTTAATTTAAAATTAATTTTATAGAAAATTTCTTTATTTTAGTTTTTTTTTGAAATTTTAAAGATTTTTTTATGTTTTTAGAGATTTTTTTTTATATTCAATTAGTAACAAATAAAATTAACTGTGTTAGTAAATATATTGAAAGTGCCACTAGCCTAGTGGTAAAGTACCTTGTCATTTAATCCAATCAACCTAACGCCAACAATAAACGACGTCAAATCTAAACTATTAAGACTGAAGTACAAATAGTAATTAGCCCTAAAAGTTGCACAAATATTACATACCTATGCCATTATTATTCAAAACTGTCATGTTATCCATCCAATATTGTTTTGGGCTTACCAATTGTTAATGGCCCATCCATTATTAAATTTATAGAAAATCAATAATGAAATGTTTCAATATTTGCTAACCCATTGCAAACCATTCAATTATATTCTTCATATCTAAACGTATCTACACCATTTTATTTACGTTTTCTATTACATAAGCATGATATAAACAAAAAATAATATTCTTTACGACTATGCATACCAACATTTAGTATATTAATTTTATAAAGGTATGGTTTAGATTTTCATTAGCAAAGTCAAATATTTATTATTTTTATCAATTTGTTATATTTTTATGTATAATATCTATATTATTAAAACTGAACTACATTTGAGATTTGTTTGGAAACATGAATAGCATTTAATCCAAAAAAATATAATGTTGTTTGACAACATGAATGGCAGTATATTAAAAAAAATAGGTTTAGTTATTAAAAAAAATGAAAGTCCTATAATAAACTATCTATTTGGGCCAACTTTACAATATATGCAAATGAACAAATCTAATTACGTAAAAACATCTTTTGTTTAAAATAATCATAATACAAAATTTAAACTTTATATACATATTTCAAATCAAAAGAATAATTTAAAATTAATTTATATCAAAATTTGATTCTATAATATACATATATTCAAAAATTGATTTTTACTAAAATATTTTCCCATGGCGATTATAATTTTTTTTCCAATATATATAAGAAAATATAATACAAAGGCCAATTTCAAATACCAATTTATATTCTGGTTTTTATATTTCACATTAAAATTTTAAAATATAATATATGTGATTATTTATATTAAACTTGTGAATTTGATTCTTTAACATGGGTTCCGCCCTGTTTGACCCACTGCAGGACATGTAAGGATCAACAGATTTGAAAAATATATGAGGCGGGTGCGGATTTAATATATTTTATGCGAAGCGGATGTGGATCGGTCGAATTTAAGTTTAAAACTAATTATTATTTTTAATGTTAACCGTAGATTTTTTGGGTTATCCATAAATTTAAATGAGATGGATGCAAGTATAATTTTTTCTACTTGTAGGTCAAATGGATCAAAGTTTTGAATAAAAAAATGATTCAACACGCAGCAGAGTGGATCAATTTGTAAATTCAACACTAATTTATATGATGGTACATATAAAATACTATTAATTATATGATACTATATGATAATACGTATAAAATATGACTATATGATGACATATATATGACATATAATAACGATATAAGAAAAATAACAATATATTTTTGAAAAACTACACCCGTGCGGGCGCACGGGTCAAAATCTAGTTTTTTTGTTAAATTTGGTGACGGCGTGCTAAATTGGCAAGTCAACGAAAACATTGTTGTTTAATTCTAAAATCAATGAAAAGTTTGTGTTTTTTTTTCGGCCAGCCCAAAAGTTTATATCTTTTTTAACTATTCGTGCAAATTCGTGATTTTTTTGGCCGAACTCCCATAATAAATATAAGATATAATTTTATGAACTAATTTTTTTCCCTAAGGATTCTAAGCATCTAGTCCTAGTGATGATATGTTGATACGCAAATATGTTATAAGGCTGCTGGATTAATATATAGGGGATTAGCCTTTTAAAATGTTGTGAATAACATGACGTCCTTTTTACTTAAGAGTCGAGCATGACACTAAAGTAGGGGTTCTTGGGTTGCTCTAAAGCTTGGGCGAGTTATCGCGCATAAGTCCATTTTCTCCGTGTAAAATTGCCATACGCATGAATAAGCTACTAAACCATCTCTTGAATGTTACCCGAAATTAACCAACGATGGAAATTTCTGTGGAGGTATGTGCCAAAACTTAAATATGATCACAATATGTATCAAGATGGTGAACACAGGAGATTCTCACGGTTTATTAACACGTCTCTGAAGTTACACAGAGCTCCGGTTCTAGAAAGTTTTAATGTCAAATTTGGTCAAAAGGCTAATGCTATAGATATTAAAGCATATGTGAGAACCGCTATTAAACGCGGTGTGCGTAAGCTATATATATCGAGATTGATACTTGTACTACTAAAACAATGGATCCAGTGGTACTTCCAGGTAGCTTGTTTATAGGCTGTAAAAGGCTTGTGAATTTGTTGCTAAAAAATGTTGTTCTTATGGATTTGCCTTCTTCGGTTTCTTTCCCATCCCTCAAAAGCCTGGTCCTTGTATCAGTGAAGTACCCATCTGACGAATTTGTCCCGATGCTTTTATCTAGTTGTCCTGTTCTTGAAAATTTGATCGTAGATCGATGACTGGGTGACAGTGTGGACCTTTTCGTAGTTAGAGTGGCCTCTTTAAAGGTTTTACTACTATGTAAATTATCGGACATCAATGCTCATGGGTTTGTGATAGATACTCCTTCTTTGGAGATCTTGGAAATTGAAGAAGCTATTGGTGGGTTTTGTGGCATCGAGCACAAGATGCCTAAGCTTGAAGCGGCAAATGTTCATGTTACTTGTAGTCATACGGAGCAGGTTATTTCTTCACTTACTTCACTCGAGCAACTTGGAGTTTGTTCGCGTAGATTATAGTCCACTAAAACGGGTGTGGTATAGATTCAACGTGTGGAAGTGGTAAGACAACTCGATCGTAAGTGTGGTTGGTTAATTAGTGGCACCGACGGGTGTATAAGTCCCTCTGGTGGAGGTAAGGGTGAGTTCACTAATGGTGGATTTGCATGTTAATATGATAAAGATGTTAAAATATGAACTAGAGATTGACCCGACCCATCCATGCAGGTGTTAATTTTACAATTTATAACTAATATTTTTTCATAACTAAAGTTATATATTTTATATGTGTCATCATATAATTAATTGAATATTTTTTAACTCCTATATATGAGAACTAAACCCGAATCAAATCGAGTAATGTGGTTATTTTTCGTTATTTGGTTATTTTTAGTTGGAGTTTTTACAAATTTGACTCAAAACTCAAAGTCAAACACAAAACTAACCTTTTTTTTATACTTTTTTGTCCTATTCACCTCACTTGTTCACATTATTTATGAAAATACCATTGATTTTTTTTTTCGAAAATTGTTTTTTTACTCTCTCAACCTCATCATCTTCAATTATTTACAAGATTGCCATTGCCATCAATATCTAACTACCATAAACAACCAATTTGAAGCTCTTAATGCACATAAAATCGATTTACATTCTCTTTCTCAATTTTTATGAACTAAAAACAACATCTCTTTCACTTTGTCTCCATATTCATCCAAAAAACTCAAGCTTTTGATTCAAAATTTTTTTATGGTTGATAGAGCCATTCAAGCTTACTATCTTTGGTGGGTTACTTTCGTTTGAGGTTCTTGGTAGTTGGAGAAGACTATGTATGCTAAGGAAGTCATCACACTAGTTTAAGGTATGAAACTGAAAATTTTAACAGATCTGTTCGCGTAGAAGACTTACCTATAAGTCGTCTGGCTTTAGAAGACTTACGGGTAAGTCTTCTGGTCAAACATACGACTTACTTCTAAGTCGTCTAGCTGTTTGTTAAAAAAAAAATCTAGTGAATACCGTAGAAGACGTACTACTTAGTCGTCGAGGATAAACGGGTTAGTTTTGCATTTGACCGAACTGTGTCAGTTATTTGACTTTTCCTGGACGACTTATAATTAAATCGTCTCTGGAAAAAAAAATTCAATATTTTATTAAATCTAGACGATTTATCTGTAAGTCGTCTCAGGTTAGTTTTGAAATTGGAAAATAAAACTTAAATATTTCACTTCTCCCAGACGACTTACACGGAAGTCGTTCAGTAAGACGACATACTTGAAAGTCGTCCGACTTACTTGAAAGTCTTCCATGATAAGCAAACTCGTCCAGATTGTTTACCAAGATTCTGGTCAAACCTTGCTTATCTCGGACGACTCTCCCGTAAGTCGTCAAACTGGACAACTTTCAAGTAAGTTGTCTGAGAAAAGTAAAATATTTAAGTTTTATTTTCGAATTTGCTGAGACGGCTTACAGATAAGTCGTCTAGCTTTAATTAAATATTGAAATTTTTGTCTTCCCAGAGACGACTTACTGTTAAGTCATCCAGGTGAAGTCAAATATCTGACACAAGTCAGTCAAATGCAAAACTAACCCGTTTATCATAGACGACTTAATGGTAAGTCGTCTAGAGTTTTTTTTTAACAAACAAAGCTGGGCGACTTACAATTAAGTCGTCCCATTGAAAAGTCAATTGCAAAAATGACATGTTTTGACGACTTACTGGTACGTCGTCTAAGTCTTCCAGACGACTTACTGGTATGTCGTTGGCGTCAGTGTTTAGTAAACTTTCATTTTCTCCATGTTTATTAATGTGTTTTATTTTGAATTTTTGCAGATGATGCGTCAGTTACATGCAGCATATGGAAAATGGTTGTTCAAAGATGGCTGTTAGGATTTTGTGGTTGATAATTTCAAAAGAACGAGAATGTTTCTTTTGAGTGAAGGTTCGACACATGCTGAACTTGTTTCAATGGCTCAAGAAGATTTTAACCTAGACATGAGCACATAATCTGTGGAGATAACCTACTCACTACCAGCAGAAATGATTCAACAGATGGATCCAGACATCCCTCCTATTCATGTTTCAAGTGATAGACAAGTTCAAAACTTGTTCGAGATAACCAAAACGCATGGAGTACGGCTTTGTGTATCAATCCGTAACAAGGTGGAAACGGTTTCAGAGGAAATGAAAGAAGCTGATGAAGTTGATGAAGCTGATAAACGTTTTGAATATGATGATGATGATTTGTTTAAAGATGAAAATCATGATGGGGAGGCGGATGATGGGGAGGACGATGATGGGGAGAAGGATGATGGAGAGAAGGATGATGGGGAGGAGGATGCCGATATCTCTATTGTTTCCGAAGCGGACGAGAACGGTGAGGATTACAGTGTTTATGGAAAGGTTAAAGATGAGGATGAGGAAGAAGATGATCATATGTTTTGAAGATTTCAAAAAGATAAAGCTATTGAAGGAGGAAGATCGAATGGTAACATTATCTATGTCAACCAGAGTTTTGTTAGCAAGGATGCACTGCTTTCAGAGCTGCGGTTGACAACAGTGACGCGTAAGTTCTCCTTCAAAATATACAAGTCAACGAAAACTCTCCTTGTGGCAACATGTCTTGTTAGTGATTGTGGATGGAAGATCAGAGCGAGTGTGAAACATGGGACAAATACGTTTTGGGTAACAAAGTATGTGGAAATACATACATGCTCAATGGGAGACCAAATCGCTCAGCGGAGACACTATACTCCGAAGTATGTTGGTAGGATTTTCATTGATCGTGTTGGAATCATTGATGGGTTGACTCTGCAGCATATAACTGATGCAATGAAGAACATGTTTGGCATGACGATTGATTACACCAATTCATATAGAGCACTGTTATATGCAGAAACATTGGTGAGAGGATCAGTAGAAGATGGACATTCGCGTCTGCCATCATATCTCGATCAAATCTCTTTAGAAAATCCCAATTCTATCACAGCTATAAAACTTGATTCTATCAATAGATTTAAGTATCTATTTCTCTTTTTTTGGAGCTTCTATTAAAGGTTTTAAGTATCAGAGAAGGGTCATTGTGGTGGATAGGACTCACCTAAGTGGGAAGTATAAAGGTGTTTTGTTAGTTGCAGCCGCACAAGATGGGAAATTTTAGATATTTCCATCGGCTTTTGGGATCGTAGATGCTGAAGATGAACCTTCTTGGGAATGGTTTTTCACAAAACTGGCTACTTATGTATTTGATGAGAAGCCTCTGGTGATAGTCTCCGACCGGCACACGGCCATTAAAAGTGCGTGTGATAAGGTGTTTCCTTGGCCAACCCGAGGAATATTTTATTATCATCTTCAAGATAACATTGTCAAAAAGTGAAAGGAAAACATCTCTTGTACTTGATGAAAGGTGCTGCTTCTGCTCATACGGTTTCAGATTTTGACCAGTACATGGCTGAGATACGAAGTGCACCCCTGGACCTTGCAACGTATTTGGAGAATGCTGACGTCAGCCTATGGTCAAGGGTTTATTGTGAGGGAGACATGTACAACATAAAAACAAGCAACATCACTGAATCTATTAATTCCGCACTGAAGCGAGCTAGAGGATTTCCGATTCAGTTCATGTTGGAGTTCATAAGGGAGAAGCTAGGAAAATGGTTTTGGAAAAGGAGAGAAGATGCTTTGAGTCTCTTTACAGATCATAGTCGGGCTGTTGAATACTTACTTGTTGTTCGATCGGAGATAGCGGATACGATTAGGGCCCAACCAATTGATGGATGGCGATTCTTTGTGAAAGGTGGAAAAATGGACTGTGTGGTTGATTTGGAGAATGGAAAGTGTGATTGTGGTGTCTATGAAGTAGAGAAAATACCTTGCTCTCATGTTGTAGCTGCTGGATCATATGCTCATCTGCATATCTCCACACTTGTACATCCAGTGTACTCAAAGAATTATTTGTTTGCAGGATACTCAGAAAATATATATCTTTGTGCTGGACAACAAGTTGAGGAACGCACATTCTTTCCTCCGGACGAAAAGCGTGGTCCGGGGAGACAGAAGAAATCAAGATGGCAATCTTGGTTGGAGCTATCCAGAGAGAGGATGCAAACCTCAGAAGCAACACATGGTTTATAGATGCTCACTATGTAGAGAAACTAGCCAAACGAAAGCATAATGTAAAGAATGATGTGGACGTCCTTCAATTAAGTCTTCCAAACCACCTTAAATTCAGTCGTCCAGGGTTTATTCTTCCAGCATACCTTAAAGTTAGCCGTCCAGTGTTTAGTATTAAGAGTTTGTGTTATGAATCTATGTATTAAGAATTTGTGTGATGAATCTATGTATTAAGAATTTTTGTTATGAATCTATGCATTAAGAATTTATGTTATGAATCTATGTATTTAGGTCGTCTGGAAAGTCTTGAAAATCTTATAGGTAGGTCGTCTGGAAGACTTAGTAGAAGACTTATAGTTAGGTCGTCTGGAAAATCTTCCAACTGGACGACTTAGTAGAGGATTTGTAATTAAGTTTCTTCCAAGACGACTTAATTCTAAGTCATCTGGCAAGTCTTCCAGCTGGACGGCTTATAGTTAAGTCGTCTGGAAAGTCTTCCAGCTGGACGACTTAGTATAGTTAAGTCGTCTGGAAAGTCTTCCAGCTGGACGACTTAGTAGAAGACTTGTAATTAAGTGTCTTCCCAGTTAATTTAAGAAATTGCACTACCAAAGACTTTATATTTATATTATCCAAAAGGTTCCAAAAGAATACAACATTCCGACTTATATTTAAGTCGTCCAACATTCCAGACAACTTAACTGTAAGTCTTCTGCGAAGTCTTCTGTGCAGAAGATAGGTTATGGAAAACCAAAATACAAACATCAGCCTAATTTATCCTAATCTATCATTCATCAACACATCAAGTTCAAATACAAACATATCACCCATCGTAAGCACCCATGTTCTCATCATTATCCTTGTTTTCTTTCTCATGCTGGTCAGGAAGCTCTTTAATATATCCACTGCCATTGTATCCCTCATAGTCTTCCCGTTGCCCTTAGCAAAGTATTTTTGATTAAATGGTATCTCAAGAGCATGACATTCAATGTACCTTAGAGCGTACACGCCACAATCATGCTCGGGCCTGAGGTATATCGATGTCACGAGTAAAAGTGAATGGCTC